GTCAGGTTCTGTGTCGAAACTGGAGGCTTGGTGCACGGAGGCTTCTCGGTAGCAGGCGCCAGTGCCTAATTTATCTTACTTGTGAGAAGCAGTTAAGTTTTCGGCTATAAAAGGCTAGAACGTTCCTAATTAGAAGGTATTGCCAGGTTGTAAATTGTGAGGTTGCAAGTGGGGCCGAGGATGCCAAGTTTCTGCCCGCTGGTCTGCAGAAGCTTGGGGGCGAGGGTACCCAGACCTGCTGTTTCGTTCTCCGCGCAGACCTGGGCGTGGTGTAGCTCTCCATCTCCTGTGACAGCCCCGCAAGGAGCGTTAGCCGATCTTTACCTGCAGCAGGTTTGGCTTGGTTTCCCTAATAATTGGGAGGCCTTTTTTCGGGTGTTTCTGGTTGCCAGGTGTTTCATCTTTTTGACAAGGAAGAGTTGGATAAAGAATAGGCGTTGCAAGAAACGGTATTCTCCCTTTTTTGTCTGTATTGTGTAAGGCAGTTATCTTGTGAGCTATTTATATTACGGAAAACAAGACCTGCTGGAGGCTTGTTTAAGTAATCTAAGTAATAGTACTGCCAAGTTCTCGGCGTCAGAGATGTGTGGCTTTAGCATCTTAGATGCGAGTCTGCCTAATGTCTTCTAAAATAGGAAATTTCCCTGGTTTTAATTCAGTAGTTGCTGAATATTCTTGCTTATTTCCAATCTCTTTTTTTTCTTACTTCCAATCTTAACTGAGTTTTTATAGATTTTGTTACCTGAGTGTTTTGTTTTTTTGAAAAACAATCTTGCCGAAACATCTAAATTTATTTATTTTTTGCAATGCAAAGTTTACCTTTGGTTAAGATGTTAAATTAGAAGTGTATTTCAGCTTGTTCTTGGTTTTAGTGGAATTTTGTTAAATTTCATTTATGTTTTAGTGAAGGGAAAGGAAAATGTTTAATCAGAAGTAATTTTGGAGCAGGTGATCATGGTGCACATCTGTAATCTCAGCATTCAGGAGGCAGAGGCAGGAAAATTGTCATGAGTTCAAGGCCAGCGTGGGACACATAGTGAGTTTAAGACCAGACTGCACTACATAGTGAGACCCTGTCTGAAAAAAAAAACGAATTTGGTAATTCTGATGAATTGGGCCTTCTGTCATTCCCATGTATTGTATGGTATCGTAATTATAGATCAACTTCCCTACCAGTGGAAATTAATTTATAAAACAGGATTTTTGTTTTGGAGACAGGGTCTCACTAGGTAGTTTAGGTTGATCTTGAACTCACTGTGGACAGGCTTCTAACTCAGCGATTCTCCTGCCTCAGCCTCCGGAGTGCTGGGATTACAGGCATGTGTCACCATGCCTGGCCTAAAACAGGATTTTTATTTTTTTATTTATTTATTTTTTTTTTTTGGTTTTTCTCCGGTACCGGGAACCGAACTCACGACCTTGCGCTTGCCAGGCAGGCGCTTTTTGCCGCTGAGCTAAATCCCCAGCCCCCAAAACAGGATTTTTAAAATGAACTAAATACTAAATAGGTGGGATGACGTATAATGCACACTGCTCTGAGGCAGCTGAAGCTAATGTCTTTAAACACACAGCCACATGGTAGGTCCACATTTTTTTTTTTGGTACTGGGAATCAGACTCAGGACCTTGTGCTTGCCAGGCACGTGCTGTGCCGTTGAGCTATATCCCCGGCCCAGTAGATCCACATTTTTAAAAAATTCATGTGTAATGGAGGAACCTATATGCAATATAGTTTTATAAATTATAATTATTGTGGACTATGTTTTCAATATGATGCAAGCATCACTTAATTGTCCTGGAGAGATTAATTTTATTGCTTCATTGACCTGACAGTTGCAAGACTATGATGGCTTTAAAATAGACGGTTAAAGTGTCTTCGGTGGTTTTGGAAAATGTTTTCTTTGGAGACTTAGGCATTAAGTTTGTTTTAGAAAAAGACGTTTGACCTATTTAAAAGATCTTATCTGTGTTTATATTATTGAAGTTTCTTTTAATGTAATTCAGTATATTACAATTTGCTCAGAATTCCCTGTTGCTAAGTAGAAAGTGACTTATCTGACTTATTTTAATTAGGTATATATTACAAATAGCAATGAAGGAGAGCAGAGACACAAAACTTTTTCATGCTGACTTTTGGAAGATGTTTTTATAGTAAACTCATTGTTTCTAGTGGAGTCTAGGGATCATATTAAATTTGGTTTTATTCACCATACTGACAGCAAGAGATTGGCTAAAATCATGGCAGCTTGAAGAGGGTTATCAACTTGGCATTAATTTTTTTCTGTGGAGCATCTGCAGGTAAGAGTTGACTACACTAACAAAATGATGACTCAGCATTTCCTAAGTACAGGGTTATGTGAAAGTGATTCATAATTATAATGTGAATATGTTCCAGATCCTGTTAATGACCACCCCAACATTATATAGTACATCCATTTCACTATGATGATGTTATGTGAGTTTTGTTATACAAGTACTTTATAATTTTAAGGGTGATGTCTGTTGGAATGTTCATTAAATTTACTGTGTATGTTTATGTCTCTAAATCAATATGAAACATGAATTCCTCTATATACACATTTTTATTAAGGGCCTGATAAACCTTTAGATAAAGAATTAAAATTCTGAGAAATAATATGTATTTGGTTCCTTTTCTGAAGTGGAGCATAGCCTTGCTATCTTTTTCTGTGTGTGTGTGTGTGTGTGTGTGTGTGTGTGTGTGTTTGACACTGGAGATTGAATTCAGTGAATTCACTGAGTGCTAAGAAATACCATCAGCCTGATTTTTAAAAATTTCAGATAGAGTGCCCTAAGTTTCCCAGAATGGCCTTCAACTTGTGCTCCTCTTGTCTCAGTCTCCTGAGTAGCTAAGATTACAGGTGTGTGCCACTGTGTTCAGTTCCTTTGGTTCTTTTGATGAATGGTTCTGTACGGTTGAAAAGGCCATGTTCTTTTTTTGGGGGGGGGTACTGGGAATTGAACTCACAACCTCATACTTGCCAGGCAGGCGCTGTGCTGCTGAGCTATAGCCCTAGCAAAAGGCCATATTCGTTGAGCACGTGAGAAAAGCTGATCTGTAGAGAATGATGGTGGACTGGTATGGAAGTGGCTTATGTCTTAGCCCAATGTATGAACCACATCCTGAATGCTACTTGTTAGTGTTTAATTGCTAGGGATCATCCCATACATGTTTTAGCCACCACGGCATTAGGCTGCCAGTGAATGGACGCCGAGTCCATCAATAGATTCAGTGCACATTGGTTGAAGGCCAACTTTGTACCTTGTTAGTTGCTGGTAATACAAGGATGACTAGGACAGTCCCTCCCCTAAGAGCTCAGAGTCTAATGAGAGAGGAACAAACAAGAAGTTACAGTATATCATGTTAAACATGATAATGAAGGTATGAAATACGTGGCCTTTGAGCACAGGGAAGGGCTGTCTTGTAGAGAAATGGTTCATCTGTGTATTTATTTATTTTTAAACACAGGATCTCACTATGTAGTTCAGGCTGGCCCTGAACTCACTATGTAGCTCAGGCTGGCCAGCTGATCCTCCTGCCTCAGCCTCCCATGTGCTGGGATTACAGGCATGTACCACCATGCCTGGCTCATCTGTTTACTCTTAGAGATGCAGAGATGCCTAGAGTTACCTAGAATTACTCTTAAAGATTTTTTTTTTTTTTTTCTCTTCAACTTGATCTAGGACAGTAGGAACTCACTTACGTTTATGACTTATTTACAGGCAGTCCCCATGCTGTGATTTAGGTGAAACTGGCTGGCAAAACTTTCTGAGTTTTGCTGTATAATAATCATTTGGAATACTTTTGTGTGTTCATATTCTCCATTGGCCCCTCTAGATCTTTTCTCCACCGTGCTCTGTGCTCTGGGAGGCAACCTGCCTGGGCATCAGTTGAGCCTTTACCTTTTGGTTTCCAGCTGGCTCTGGCCACTCTCTAAGGAACTTCAGCAGGGTGCCTGGAAGAGCAGTCCCTCCTGCTGGATTTGTGTTGCCAGGGCTGCTCTGTGAGCAGCTCACACCCGCTGTTCAACAGTTGTCTCCTCAGCCAGCTAGAGATCTTTCTGGGTCCTTGTAAACTTTCCTTTGCCCCTTTAGACTTAGGGATTATAGTGGCTATCTGATGTTTCTACCTGAGAATACATATGCTACCATCCCTTACTGCTTTCTCAGAATCTTGCCTATACCTTTGAAAATGGTTTCTTCATTAAATTCTCTTGAAAATATTATCTGAGTGTGCTGTTATTTACCAGCCTCTACTGGTAATACCCGCCTGTGTACCAAACTGATTTGAGGTAGCTTTCTTTTCCATACTAGACACCAATTACAGTAGCCTTTAATAGCAAATATAAATAGGAGCCCAGGGGCCTCAGTTGTTTTCTTGGGAGGGAGGATTTTAATGCGCCCTCAGCATGGGCCAAATGTGATATGATCATTATGTCAAAATCCACAGGTGTATAATAAAATCTGGCATCAAAAACTCTGGCAGCCAGCAATAGGT